TGCTGCTGTTCTCTAAGGCAGTCAGGTGCTGGGTGAGGACAATCTGAGATGTTTCCACTCTGTTTTGATGACTCTGGTATTGTCTGGATCCTGAAGAGGCTTCAGTGATGTTTGTGGCTCAGTAGCTGCTCTGCAAAGGCTGGGGTTCAGTGTCTTTGTCTCCACAGCTGCTGCAGCTTGTGCAGCCTTTTTACTTAGACTCTGTTATTTTCCAATAACTTGTCCTCATTTCCACTGCTGCAGCACTGTCTGCTTCCTGTGATAAATTTGCAGCATTCCATGTACTGAACTTCACCTCTTCAGCTCCCAGCTGTAAGCAAACTGCAGCCTGTGTCCTGTAGGGACAGGATCAGTTTTCCCTGGTGCTGGTGTTGGCTGTTACCATCACCTGGGGTGTCCTCTGGTGAGGCTGACACCTCATTCTACCAAATAGTTCATTAAGTTGCTTCTGTAATCAATAAAAGATAAGAGGCTGAGAGCAGGTACCCTTGAACATTATCCTGTGAGCAGTGACTGCTTCCCTGATGCCACTGCCCTGCACATGCACTGAGCTGCTGCACTCACTTTTTCAGGGTTTGATGTTTATTTTTAAATTTATTTCTGACCAAGGAGCTTTCCAAGTCATGAAGGCCTGCACCGTGCCCAGACCTGTTGCTGTGTTTTGGTTTGAAAATCGTAGGTGTTTGTTAAGGAAGGTAGGAATTTCTTTTGAAATGGAAAAGTGTAAACTCTTCTTCCCCCCCCCCCGAATTACTACAATTTTAAAATCAAGGGCCTCTCAAGCAAAGAAGTGAATAGGAATAACAGTACTAGGAAAATTAAAATAAAAATGCAGTAGTACAAAAAACACAAAAGTAAACCCACTGGCAGAGTCTGAATACAACCCTGTTGGTCAGGGTCTTAGCAGTCTGATTAAATGGTGGCTGCAGTCCTCCTGCAGTGACAGATGTGGTTCTATTGAAGCAGTGATCCTGTAGAAGGGTGTAGTTTTTTTTTCTGAAGGTCTAGCAGTTGTGGGGATAGGTCCAAACTTCTGGGCATCTAGTGGAGAAAAGCTAACTGCAGTGTTCTAACGCAAATTATACCTAAATAAGAATATCCACCTCTTCCTGGGGTGGAGCATCTCACGGTGGGATGATGTAATTTTATCAGTCATGCAGTGAGACTCAATGGCCCATTAACAGAAGATGTCCCCCTAGAGTTATGGGTCATAGATAAAGAACACTGCCCCCCCTGGTTTTAACAGATAGTAATAAAATACATACTTTTAGTTGAATCTTGCATTACAGCCCAAGATACGCTGTCACTGCATGGTGTGCCAACCTGAGCGGCAAATCATGTTGAGCAGCTGAAGGATCATGTGCTGCCAGGAGTAAAAATAGTGTCACTGCCACTGGTCCCTGTCCAGCCAGTGCCTGTGGCAGCCCATGCGACGTGGTGGCCGAGATGGGCTCGGTGCTGCCCAGGCTGGCTGTGTGTCCTGTGCTTCCTCGTGCCTGGAAAACACTTCGGGCTCTCATGATTTATTTGCATTAAAAAAAAAATACTGGATTACACAAACGACAGCGCCTGAGGCTCCGCTGGGCCTGGCTCTCGCCAGTGCTGGGCTGCCGTTCCTGGGAGGCTCGGCCAGTGCAGGCGGTGACGCAGAGGCCGGGGAAGCGCGGCCTCCCCGGGGCCAGAGCATCCTCGCTGCTGCTGCTGCCTGCTCGGTCCGGCTCCCTGGAGCCGTGCCCAGCGCTGCCTGTACCTTGCTTGATCTGCGGTCCCCGCAGCCCCTCGCACCCACAG